ATGTAGTGTCTGTTCTGACCTTGGTCCAAGTATAGTTTTCGCATAAGCACAATCAAATGTTCTGGGATTCCCATTCTTCTCAGAGTCAGCCATAGCTTGTGATCCACACAGTCAAAAGCCTTTGCATAGTCTATGAAGCACAGATAGACATTCCTCTGGTAATCTCTGCTTTCTGCCAAGATCCGTCTAACATTAGCTATAACATCTCTAGTACCACGACCTATTCTAAATCCTCCACCCAGGAAAAAAAGAGGCACATTTCCATTTCTCTGGGTGAAAAGAAACAATTCCTCAGACACAAGAGTCAAAGCTGCTTTGTTTAAAAGTTCTATTTGGGTAAATAAAGCTTTTGCAAAATGACCTGGAAATGTAGGTGAATATTGTTTCTATGAGGAAATGTTTCTCTGTTATAAACAGCCACTTGGAACCAGTCTTTTGAAAGAAATAGAATTAATTTTGTTCATATTAAATCTATATAAGACCAAGAAACTCTGGTCTGAAGAAAGTTAGGAAACACTGCAGGGTTTAATATAATTTATCCACAAAGTGATATTTCTTTTCATAACTAAAACTCACAAATACCACATCCAAGGTAGTCCCAGAAAACTAATGAAGTTCTATAATGACCTAACTATTGCTTCTCCAATGCTCAGAACTCACTGTGTTTTGCAACCACTGTTCTAGACGCCTCTACCTTCAGCCCCAGTAGTCACGACCTGTATGTTCCAGAACTGCAGGTGACATTGGGGACTCCTGTGGTGGCTCCTCTTCCATCATTTGGTGGTTTCCCTTGTAATTAATTACAAATATCCCACACTGACCATCAGAGACCATTTAGAAAGGAAGTAGATGGCCTGGTTGGTATTGTTTTTATGCAGGAGTGCCTCAGAAGAGGGGCCTGGTGGTCTCCTTCTAGAAAATCATCCCCATTGACACTTACAGAGCATTGTTTTACTCTGAAATGCACAAGGTCTCCGTGAGCTATGGTGAACCAGAGGACAACTGGATTGCAGTATTGTGTAGTGGTTACCTTGAAATAGACTGACACAGTGATGGGCTTGAGCCATGACAATGGCACTGGACTGGACAAGGTTCAGATCTATTGTTCACAGGGTCACTATGAGTCACAGTGACTGAACAGCACCAAACAACAGTAGTGGCTAACTCCTCAGTCTAACTGTTGTTGCTATGTGCCATCGAGTCACATAAGACTCATATATACAATAGCTCTGAACCCTGCCCTGTCCTGAGCCAATCTCATCATCTCCAATAGACCTAATCCCATTTCTCCAGTCATTAAGTCAATCCATCTCATTCTGGGTCTTACTCTCCCGCGTTGTCCCTCCACCATTCCGAGTATGATGTCCCTCTCTAAGGACTGGACCCTCCTGGCCACATGCTCAAAGTATGAGATGGAGCCTCAAAATCCTTGACGTCAGGGTTGGGGGGGAACTAAGAAAAGAGGAGATAAATAATGAACACTGCATTGAAACAGATGAGAGAAAGAACTGCTTAAAAGGAATATATGATTAGGTATTATTTGCATGACAACAGTCCAGAATAAGAGCTTCATAGTAAAGAGGACTGGGGTAGGGGTGGGGAATTACACACCAATGAAAGAATTGTTTTTCTCAAAGAGAAAAGCGAACTGGGGAGGAGGTGGACAGGGAGGAAAATGTGCAACAATAAGTGAATAAGAAAAAAAAAATGAAATCCTTGCCTTTAAGGAGTAGCTTGGTTTCAGCTTCTCTAGGACAGAACTGTTTGTTCTCCTAACAGTCCACGGTATGTTCAACATCCTTCTCCAGCACCACAACTCAAAGGCATTGATCCTTCCATCATTCTTAGTTATTGTCCAGCTCTCTGATGCATAGCAAGTCATTGCAAAGACCATGACCTGGATCAGGCGCATATTAGTCTCCAGACTGATATCATTACTCTTCAGTACTCGAGAGAGGTCCCTGAATTTCCTCTTTTGATTCCTTGACTGCTGATCCCAAGAGTGTTGATTGTGGAACCAAACAAACTGAAGTTATCACCAATCTCAATCTCAATAAATTTTAACCGCCACACTATGATTGACCAATAACAGGTTACTGAAACTTTCTGCTCTGAAGTTTCCTCAACTGTAAAATAAGTATGTCAAAAATACCTCAAGAAGGTTTTGAAGGCATTTACCAGCAACATGGTACCTATAGTAGTATGTATTTAGACTTACACTGGCAACATCCAATTTGTAGCAGGGGAACAAATGGAGGAGGATTGGAATCCTGTGTTTCTGGTGTCCTATAGATGTAAACAGTAATTACCAACATCCTGGTTGGTTGTGGTATCTTACTGCTTTCTTTTTGTAACATTAAAAGACTAAACAAAAAAAAAAAAAAAAGAATGTGCAATTCCTACTACAATGCAAGAATGAGATAAAGTCTCAAAGTTTTACTGATTGACAAGGATTTAGCTTTAATTTGGTGACTGAAAACAGAGTTATGTAATACTTAGGGGAAAAACTGTGGTCCTCGAAAGATGGATTTTTAAATAGTCAGTGTTTTTAGACACGCAATCCAATAGTGGGACAATATACCCCTGAGATTATCTCCTTAAGAAATGGAATTTTTTTTCCCTCCGTAGATCCATATAAACCAGGCTGAGTTATTAGGGGGGAAATGAGTTTAATAATACAATATTAGATCAAGGATCATCCATGAATGATGTACTATTAAAAAATGGCTTGGATATTCATTTACCTCTAGTAACTTTAATGCTGTAAATACTTGTATTATAGTGAGGTAGACAGTTTAAAAAAAAAACCAACAAAAACAACTCTCCATTAGACAGAATTAAAATTTTGTAATAATATTTAAGGAAATGACAACATTATGAAAGAATGAAACATCTGATTATTGCTTAACTTTGTACAACTCGAATATAAACTTTAAAAATATTAGAAATTATAACATTTGAGTGCATATAACGTTTTGTACATTACGATGAATTGCATGCTGTCCACTTTGCACTTTCAGTCACCTTAAATAAACAAATATATACAGCCTTAACAGAACAACAGTGCATCCAAAGCAAATGTGCATTTTAAATTATTTCTCCTGGCCTTATTTTTCTTTTTCCGTAGCATTTCATACTAGCTTTCATTATCATTCCCACCCTTACTTTGACAGTTTGCAGTTCTCTGAACCAAAACAAGCAACTGGTTTAGATGATGAGATAGAGCAAAACCAGATAGGGAAAATAAATTTCTTTTTTTTTAATGGTTGGTACAGGTCCCTGTGCTTAAACCATTTCATGGTCGTAGATGAGAAGGAAGTTAAGTCATAGTCCCATCTGGGCCACGTTTGAAAATAATACTGTGCAGGCGGGGTGGGGGCAGCAGGAAGAAGTTCAAGCTTTTCACTCTCTAGGAATGAGTGTTTCAATGGGGTTGTGCTCTCTCCCGATTCCTTCTGGAAGATTCATTCTACTCTTATCTCCTCCTTGAAAGGTTCCTTCCTGGGTGGTGCAAGTGTTTGCGCTCAACATCTGCCTGACCTAAAGTTTGGCGGTTCAAACCCGCACAGTGGTTCTGTGAGAGTGAAGCCTGACCATCTACTTCTCTAAAGATGACATCCATTAAAAGCCTATGCAGCAGGTCTGCTCTGTAACAGATGCACAGGGTCCCAATGACTCAGAATCAACACATTTGGGTTGTTTGTGGGTGCTTTTCCCCTCTTCTTTCTTTCCTGCCAACTCCCAATCTCCCACCCCAAATTCAATGCAGTACTTTTTGCTCTTTTCTCCCGTTTTCCATTACTGTTTCTAAAACATTGCCTAACTGGTAATTACAACCTGAAACGACTCTTTTAGGGGAGCCCTGGGCTATTTCTGGCTGGTAATCTTACAGGAATGTGGAGAGGGGCACTTTACAGAAACTTCAGAGACAGGTACTTGTCCTCTTTCATCCAGTCGTCCCTGCTCCGAGCAGGGCCCTTCCCTTGAGCTCCTCTGTGGACCTTGCCCTCTCTACCCTGTCTGCCCCGTTACTCCTCCTCAGAACCTTTGACCTTGGTTATAACGTTCCTTCGTTGCTTATAAATGGGGAATCAACTTCTTCTTAAAAGGGGAGGCCTGAATCCTTGGCAAATTCTTGGCTTTGGTTTGTTTGAGTCAGTTAGAAAGAGATATTATGAAGGTCTTTTCTGTGGGTTATCTCCTGCCTGGGCATATTAACCTCAGTGTCAGGCCCAGTAAGGGGCAGGTCTTGTGGTTTCTCATTATCCTTCAGGGGGTTCCATTTGGACTAATTCTTGTCATTCCATCCATACCAGCTCCCCTTTCCCCCAGCAGAAAAAGCAAGCACCCAAACCATCTCTCTCAGCCCCCTCCGTCTCTGGATTCATAGGAGAGTTGCCAGTGACCAATTCTGGAAAAGTCCAGGACAGAGCACACAACTGGTCAGAAATGACACTGGACTCTTCCTGAATCTCCTTTGAAGCCAGGAACTAGCTTTCCTATCCCGCTTCCAATGGTTTAATCCTTTCTGCCTGGCAGACCACCAGACATAGGGTGTGTGACATGGTCAGAAAGATAGCAACTTTTTTTTTTAACACAGAAAACCACCAAACCAAGATGTGGCCAAAGGTGATTCTTCCTCCAACACTATTGCCCTATTAAAAAAAAAAAATCTTTCAATCCATGAAACTAGTTGAAAAACGGGTGTAAGACTCCCTAAAACCTGTGAAATGCACAAGGGCATCCACAGCCACGAAAATGAAGGGAACAAAACAAATATTCCTCGGCTTGTTTTTCCAGGGTGGCCAGGCAAAGTGTGAGAATCCATGGATCCGTGCGCGCTGGCGGGTGGAAGGTTCTGGAAGGGCTGCGCTGCGCGCTCCTTCCCCTCTGCTCCTCACTCCCAGGTCCAGGCTGTTCTCCCGCCCTCCGGCTCCTCCAAGGCCAGCTCTTCCTCCAACTGTCTCCGCAGTCAGGCTTCCCCAGCGGGAAAGGCGCCGCTACCTGCAGCCGCAGGACTCCACCACCATGTCCTCGTACTGCTTGTAGACCACGTTATTGCCCGCGTCGATGTACAGGATACTGATGGGAGTCAATTTGGTGGGCACGCAGCAGCTGGGCGGGGTAGAGCCGGGGTCCATGGAGTTCATCAGCGTCTGGATGATGGCATGGTTGGTGGGCTCCAGGTGCGAGCGCAGCGGGAAGTCACACACGCCCTCGCAGTGGTATGCCTCGTACTCCAGGGGCGCGATAATCCAGTCGTCCCAACCCAGCTCCTTGAAGTTCACGTGTAGCGGCTTCTTGCTGCAGCGCAGCCTCGACTTCTTGCCGTGGCGCTTGCCATGGCGGCTGGCGAAGGCCGTGCGCCGGCGGCGGCGGCCGGACGCGGGCAGCCAAGGCGCGGCGTCCGGGGCGCCGGAAGGCTGTGGCCACGAGCCCTCGGGGCCCGCGACCTCGGCGGAGCCCAGCTGCTCACGCATCTCTGCGAAGAGATTCTTGCGCTGCGAGCGGGTGAACACCACGAGCAGGGCGCGCTCCTGGGGCGGCCGCACCCTCCGGCTGAAGCCCAGACTCCGCAAGTCCGGAGCCGGCGGCTGCTGGGGCCCTGGCGCGTGCGCCTCGCGCTCCTCCGCGCCGGGCTCGGCCCACGCGGCGCGCAGCTCCAAGCACAGCTGCTTGCCGGGCTGGTGGCGCAGGCCCTGCCACACGTCGAAGACTTCCCAGCCGGCAGAGGGCGCCCCCTGGGGGTCCAGGGTCCGTGCGTCCAGCAGCAGGGGCGACAGGCAGGGGGCGAGCTGCACGTGGAGCGGCCCGGCCGGCGGCCCCCAGGGCGCTGCAGGCGCCTGGCGAAAGAGCCGCAGCTCCGCGCCCACCAGCTCTTCTTTGTCTGAGAGCGTGGACACATCAAACAAATACTTCTGTCTCCGGAGAGGAGTGTGTGAGAGATCGTCTGCGAGATAAAAAATAATTACAGTCAGTTTCACTTAAGGGGGAAATCGGCCCAGCGCTGGGCGGCTGCCCCCGGGAGGGAGAGAGGCGGGAGCAGGGCGGGCCGGCCCGGGGAGGTCAGTGCTGCTGGCCCGCGACCCGACCACCCTCAGTCTCCCCGGGGCGCCGGGAGGGGGCGCACGGGGGCCGGTCCCCTCCTCCCCACGAGCCCCGGCCGCCCCGGGCGGAAGTCGGTGGCTGCGGCGAGAGCCTCCGGGTTTCCCCTGGGAGACGGTGCAACCACTGTGCGACCTCTGCGGTTGCGATCCTGGGCCCCAGACCTCCTCTCTGCTGACTCCTCCTCATCCTCTTATCTCCGTGCAGATGTCACCTCCTCCACGTGGCCGTCCTTGACATACATTTCCATCTAAAGTAGCCCCATTGGATCGGTCACTATCGCAGGACTCTGGTTTAGAATCTTACCAGCACTTGGCTTTATCTCTAATTACCTCGTTTGTATTTGTTTCTTCCAGCCTCCCACCCTGCTCCCACCAGCTGTATAAAAGGTTGTTCGCGTCAGTCTTGCTCCCCACAGCGCCTAGGGCTGTGCAGGACCTGGAGCACCAGTTGGTAAATGGAGGAGAACGCTTGGAACAGCGATCTTCCATCATGGCTGCACACTAGATCTACCGAAGAAACAAAAATACCAAAGCCAAGGCTTCACCTAGACCTGCTGAATCAGGATCTGAGGGACTCTGGCGCTGAATTTTTGTGCTAGCCTACCGCCTCCACTCAAGAAGGGAGCTCTGGTGGCCTAGTGGGTAAGGAACTGCGCTGCCAACTCATTGGCAAGCGGATGGGCAACTGCTCCCATTCTGTTTACAGTCTGGAGGGAGATTTCTAGTGGCTAAGAGGAAAAGAAGTTAAGCTGCCAACTCAGAGGTACTGGTTTAAATCCACCAGTCACTGGGTGGGAGAAAGGTAGACAGTCTCCTCCTTTGCCATTGACTGCCTCTGAAAACCCCCTAGAGGGTCCGCTATGGGTCTGTTCCGACTCCATGGTACACAACAACAACAACAAAAGCCTGTTGGAGAGTCAACTCTGAGTAGCTTCAAAGGCAATGATAGCCGAGAGCGTGAGACCATTTAGAGGGACTCTATTATTATTAGTTTGGGCTGATAAAAGTGCAGCCCTCGTTTGGACCCACTGGCCTGCATGGAAACTTGCGGTCATCAGTGGCTGTTTTGCTGGAGCATTTTAGGCTGAAGACAATGCAGATAACTAGAACGAGGACTGCCAACTGACTTTTTTCTATTTTTCAAATGTGCCAACCCATCTCATGACAAAAGAGCAGTAGGGTTTTCGGAAGTCTGCAGGAGGCAAAGCAAACACACACCACACCTCTTCAAAGCAAACACACATTGGCACCTCTTCACTGGGAAGATCTGATAGCAAGAATTAGAGAAACCTGGAAGGAGGCAGCTCAGCCAAGGAAAGAGCTCAGGACAGTTACATGCAGAGAGACATACACTCCAACAAAGGCATCCCCAGCCCCACCCCCTTGCTCCAGAACCAATCTGAAATTCGCTTGCTATGCGATTAATCCTGGAGATCTGGTCTTGTTGTTATTGTTGTTGTTACACATGGGGGGAGGGGAAGGAAGACATCTCAGGCACATGGAAGAAGTTGTAACAGGTTCTTAAAACATGCCTTTTTCTAGATGGAGGCAGAGATATATTTGTTATTTTATGTAGATAGTATAGAGAGAGATATTTGTGCTGGAAGCCAACTCCACTGTGCAAGGTGGAAAGCTAGGCAGAGTTTCCTGAGTTGCTTTTCCCATAAAATATTTACAACCCAGCAAATACAGAAATCCCCAAAGCCCCCAGCTTTCCCTCAGAAGCCAGTAAAGTTTGGGTTGATTTCAATAATAAAAGTGTCACTGAGTCCCAGGTTCAACTTGGATATCTGTCCAGATGCCGCCTGGGGGCACTGGATTTGAAGCCTCAGCCACTCTCAGTCCCCTCTGGGCCGCCCTCCAGGCTGGCTGCCACAGCCTAACATACAGGCCCTGACCTGAATGAAGCTGTGGGAAGGGTTAGAGGTGAAAAGGGAAAGGCTGCTTGATTTATGGAAGCCAAGCCCTTCCAGCCAGCTTGGGTCACATTAAAATCTGTGGGAATTCAGCACTTTCTACCTCTTCATCTGACAACTCCCAGCCACTTCCAGGATCTCAAGACTATGGCCTCAGGCTGCACTTCCCAGTCCTTGGCACTTTTTCCCCCATTCAGACTAACAATGTGCTGAGAAGGATAGACCCAAGGCACTGGCGGCATTAGCTGAGTATTTACAGCAGTTAACATGTTTTGGGCTTAACGATAAGAAGCTACGATGTAATCCCAAAGGCACGCAGTTTGAATCCACCAGCTGCTTCACAGGTGAAAGATGGGCAATCTCTTTCCACACGATTTACTGCCTCAGAAAACCCACTGGAGGGAGAGTCTGCTGTGAGTGGGTTCCAGGTCAATGACACACACCACCAACAGCAAGAAAGTGGTTTTCAACTCATTGCCCATATGTTAAGTTCTGTGATGCAGGTGTTCATATTGGTCCCATCTTACATATTAGAAAACCAAGACTTGTAGGGACCCAAAGCTGGAAGCTAGTGAGTATGGTTTAAATCCCTACCTAAACTATTTCATTTCAAAGCTGGAACTCTTAAACCCCAGTCTTTATAGTTCCCCTCCCCCTTCCCCCACCTTCATGGCCTCTCTGCTGCTGTGAAGCTTTAGAGTAAAACAGCCGAGAGCTATGGTATATGGAGGGAGGGGGGAGGATACACAGTTCAAACTATATTTGCAGAGTTTAAATGCCCTGCAAGTCATAGAAAGTTTGATCTGTCTGCTAACCATCAGATTGGGACTTCAAGACCACCCAGTGACACAATGAAAGAAAAGTTTGGCAATCTTCAGTAACAATTCCAGCCAAGAAGATCCTATGGTTCTGTAAGAAAATCACCATAAGCTTGAATTAGTTTAACAGCAATGGTTTTGGTTCTTTGGATTTTAGAAATAAAATCTAGTGTGCCCTAAGGAAACCCATTGGATCCCTTTTTTTTTGGGGGGGGGATGTCTTTTTTTTTTTAAATAGCCTGTCACTGGCTGGAGAGCGTTGAAGCAGGTGCAAAGGGTGACGATGTCGTTATTTCTTTCCCATGGACCACAGAGAGGTCAACTGGCTTTCACTTTACTTTTTGTAAAAGTGTGAGCTAAGAAATGACTCCCCTGCACAGCTGAGTAAGTTTCTCCAATCTTCAAAGATGGTCAGGGAGAGATCTACAACAGTGCAGTCTCAGAATCAGTCACAGGTGGTCTTTCAGACAAGACTACCAAGAAAAATACTACCATTGAGTCGATTCCGACTTCATGTCAACCTGTCATCAAGTGCCCATGGCTGCAAATCTTAACAGGAGCAGACTGCTACATCTTGCTCTCAAGGAGCATCAGAGGAATTCAAACTGCTGACTTTTTGATTAGTAGGGCAGCCTAATGATATTTCCAAAGCCCAGGACAGAGGAGTCAATGGGAGCTTCAGCCTGCATCCTGCATGTCGTCTTCCCTCCTGCCATCCTTCACTTGTCACATCTGCACACAGGTGGACCTCTCACTCCCACCACAAAGGTCCACTGCTCCCTAGGTCTACAGGTGCACATGGGCTATTGTGGTCCATTCTTAGGAGGACAGATCTGTGGGAGGAGAGGGCGCACACACCCTGGAAGTGGACTGAGAATTATTTGGATGGAAACTCTCTGGTCCCAGCTACCTGAAGCATAGTCTGAAAGCGTGCTCTCAATGCCCAAAGTCTGCCAGCAGCTGTCAGAAGATTCTGGCTCTTGGGGATCCTCTGTCTGTTAGGAAGGATGACACCCTTTAAAGTTACAGCTACATCATCATCAATCACAAAGGAACTTGTCAAAATGCCTATCTGGAGCCCATATTTTTAATGTGTTCTCTGGTGATGTTGATTCTGCTGGGGGGTGAGGTAGGGTATGAGAGTTGCATTTTGGGGGACCACCGGTCTGGACAAAAGTAGCTGAGGTGCAGGTTCCACGTGGATATGTCTCCTTGGCTTCCTGGCTGGATTCCTTCCCCAGTGGAGAGCCACCACTGGAGTAAGGATAAAATCACTCACTCACTCAATGATGTGTGATCGGAACCAACTCACAGCTGACCTTCCAGTGGTTTTCAGAGGCTTTAAAGAATAAAGAGCGTGGGAGGAGGTTGTCCATCTTTCTTCCCACTCCACCCTCAGCAGCTGGTGGGTTCGAACCACCCACCTTAGGGCTGGCAGCACAACTTCTTACATACTAGGCCACCAGAGCTCCCTCAGGATAAAATAGGACCCTCCAAAGCACAGGCCCCAGGCCAGCGTCTAAGTCAGAAACAGATGGCTCTTTCTCCCAGTGCCTTCCCAGTCACCATAGCCACTTCCACATTTCTTTACTCTTTCAGCCTCGAGTCCTCTCACTGCAGCTCCAGAACCTCTAAGCCAAGGGTCCCAGGAAGTGGTTGCTCTGTCCTGCTTCCCTGCAGCCCACATTCCCCACCTGCCTGGGCTTGTAATAGAATCTTGAAATGGCAGAAATAGCCCAGGGCAGGCATCTGACCTGAGGAGGGCAACTCCCTCTGCCTGTGGACCAAGCATCACTATCACTTGGCCTGTGCCCCCTGCCTGGGACCACCTGAGGGCAGGAGACTAGCCCTTCAAACACCCTCCACCAACCTCCTCCCTCATCAAGTTCTTTGTAAATTAGGGTTGTGGTCATGGAATGACTGACCCTCTCTTCCACATCTTTAACCAAAAGAAACATACACTTTTGCTTTCTAATCCCTTTGTGACTCTTTCTCACTCTCCTGTGTTTCTTCTGTCCTGATGGTGGAATTGATCAGTAATGCACCATGAGAGTGTTTGCTTTGCATCTGCATCAGCCTAGTTTGCTTTAACTGAATGCACACCTCACT